TGTTTGTGATTCATTCTAACAAAAGGACGGCTCTGATTCCAAAAGAGATGGGAGAGATGTGTTAACAAAAGCAACAAAAAAAAACAAAAAACACAGCTGGTTGTAAAAAATATATATCTGGACTAGACTACTGTATGTATATTAATTAGTCGCTAGTTATAAAAATGCTTCAGTTATTATTATTTATGTGTTATTTAACCTTAAGAAATAAAGAGATTAGCTTCTCCTTCCTTTAAGTGATACATTAGATCAAATATTTGAACTGGGGTTATGTGGAAAGATGATGGACAATCAATAACTTACCTGTTTTTATAAACCCATCCAAAGGAGGACATATGGTATGGTCTCCGTAAACATTCTTTAATCCTGCCCATAACTTCTGATCCGCTCAAGATAATTTAATGAAACGTAAAACACATGCATCATTGCTAAACACAGTGTCTCATACAGCTTTCATCACCTCAGTTGTAAGGTAAAGGTCACAAATAAAGGTCAACGTTAAAACAAGGTCTTTGCTTGTCCGGGCCATTGCTAAAGATTCCTGTATTGCTGTTAAATAGTTTGTCAACAGCTGTTAAATGTACAGTACGCGGTGTTCTTGTTAGAAATAATTTAATCCATGAGCTGACTGCTGGTCTGACAGACTAAAAATGAATTCCACTAATCTTTAAACAACTCCAATCTCAAAACGTCAGAATTATACTCTATTTCTCCAAACTGAGCTCATTTAAAGAGCTGTCTACAACAGCCTTAAAAAAAAAAACATTCATCAGTCCATTATCTTTTCTGTACTTCTGAATATAAGTGAAAACCTTTTGAAATTCAGCTTTTGTGATCCCATTTGGGTCCACTGGAGCTTATGGCAGTGTTAACCAGCACATCTGGGAAGAATCTTTCAGTACTGAGTGTTACACGTGGGTTTTGGAGCGTCACACTTTTCAGAGGGAACCTCCTTCCTTTTAACGACTCGGTAAAACCACTCTGCACTGAATAAACAACATCGTTGAACAGTTAGAGTTTGCGTGCTCAAACGGCCCGCCTGCAATGTAAACCTATCATCAGCGGAAAAGATTTGACAGATTGTGAAACTATTAAATACAAGAGCAGGTCTGAACTGTTGAGCTGCTGAAATTATATAAAAATATAGTTGGAGTTTAAATCTACAGCCGACTGTCTGCTCTGTGTTTTAAAGGGACGGTTTAGATCTTTGGAAGTGAGATTCATCCGTCCGTCCGTCCGTCCGTCCATCCATCCATCCGTCCATCCGTCCATCATCTTCCTGTTGTTCTGGAGCCGGGTCTCAGGAGCACCTCTTCCAGCTCTTAAGAGAGGACTCCAAGGTGTTCCTATTATTAGCGTCGAGTTAAACTCGGATGCAAACAGAACTCGGGGAAACTCGAGGATAAATAAATAACTTATGTATTGAACTTAAAATCAAAGCTCTGACGTGGCAGTGAAAACTTACAAAAACCAGTAACACGGGGAGACACCGAGGAAGCTGTGGGAAGCACAATCCACGGACGAGGGGCAAACAGAATGAGACAAGACCAAATCTAACGAGAGAGAATAACAAACACCCGGGCAGGATAAATCAGGAGCAGGTGAGAGTGGGGGGGAGCGGGAGCTGGCAACAAGAGAGAAACACTGGGGAAGCTGGAAACACAGGAAAAACAGACTCAGAGAACGCAATAAAATAATCACAAGTAGACACAAACACCATAAAACACACAGATTATGACCGTTTCCAGTCCAGCCAAGAGACATAGTTTCTCCAGCGTGTCCTGGATCTTCCCCATGGCCTCCGCTCAGTTGGATATCCCCAGAAAACCTCCCAAGAGAAGCATCCAGTGGGCAGACTCACCAGATGTGTGAACCACTTCAGCTTACTCCTCTGGATGAGGAGGAGCAGCGGCTCTACTCCGAGTCTCTCCTGGATAACGGAACTTCTCACCTTATCTGTAAGTCCAGCTACCCTGCAGAGAAAACACATTTAGATCACCTGGATCTTGTTCTTTCAGTCACTACCTTGAGTTTGTGTTCACTGGTGAGGGGAATGTAGACCAACTGGTAAACAGAGAGTTTCTCCTTGCAGCTCATCTCTCTCTTTATCACAACGAATTGGAACAGAGTCCACAATACTATGGAAGCAGCACCAATCCTAATGGGTAGATGATAACAAGGAGCTTGATGTCCTTCACCCAGATGTGTCTGATACGGTTATTGAGCTAGTAGCAAGTCCAGTCTCCAGTCTTAAAACGTGATTATTCCTGCAGAAAGTACCCCATGCTGCACCTGTGATGCTAAACAGCTGCGGCTGCTGCTTGTGCTTAAAATAACCACAGAATTCTACTTAATTACCATATTATTGCAAAATTAATGGTAATGTAAATTAACATCTAGCTTAACTTTTGTAATTGTCCTAACTCTCTTCTTTTATGCAGCCATAATCAAATATTTTTTACTCTACAATTCAGGAAACAATAAAAACACAATCAATCATGGCTGAGACTTCACGCGGTTACATCGGTCTGACAGCCTCATTTGTCAAAACCATCCGTTTTTATAGCTTCATCTGTTAAACGTACTGTACAGTACATGTCTCAGCTTGAGTCTGTGGCTCACGGATTGCTGCACATGCTGCTTTAACTGACGGGTGGGTTTGGCTCATCTTGAATAAATGCTGCCAATCACTGCTAAAACATCTGCACTCCTGAAATTAAGACTAAGACCTAAACTGCAGAGAATCACAAGTTCAGATTTATTTAAAAAAAAACTCACGTTTAAGTTTAAGCTCTGGTTGTTTTCCAGTTCTGATAAGGACCAGCTTGCTGAGGAAGAAGATGATGAGCTGAAAGAAGTGCTGGATCTGAGGAAGATCGCTGTCCAGCTTTTGCAGCAGGAACAACAAAACAGGTGAAAGGGACTCATGAAGATTGTTTGTCCTCCTTACTCGACACTCTGAGCAAAAACCAACTGAATAGAATAAGATGAACTAACATACAACCAGTGGTGAGCTGTGACCACAAGATCTAGACCTTCAGTTAGGATGAGACACTGATATCCTATGAAACGTTAACATCAAAGACCTGGAGTCATAGTACAATTACATCACTTTACTACTAATATTATTATCAGAATGTAGTAACTTGCTGACAGGAAGTGCTTCCCCCTCTGTATCCATCAGGTACGACATCTTTATGGTGTCATTAAACAGTCACTAACACAAACCTGAACCTAAACACCAACCCAACACTAACCAGAAAAAAAAACCACAACAGGGAGAACCCGTCTAAACACATAACCTGAAAAGGTGCACCCATTCCTGTTGTAAGATTACCCAGCATGCCCTGCAGCTCACCCAGTCTTTTACATAGTACAACAAGTTTAAGTACAATGTAATTTGGAGAATTCACCCAGAAAACTTATTGTTCCTGTTAAATTTCATCACGTAATGAGACCAAAACACAACTGCAATATTAAAAATTACCAACATAAACCGAAATGAGATACAACCTTTCATTTTTTTAGACAATTTCTGTGTGGATTTGTAAATGTACAGTTTGCTATTGAATGCATCACAAATATTTACATGGTCCAAAAAAAAATAAAATAAATGCCTGAAAGCCCTTCGCTACATCAACATTGAATTCCTGTAAGGTACTGATCAAACTCCTCCTGAACAGTGTTGCCAGATCTCACAATAGAAACAAGCAACCAGCTCTATGAAAACGAACCCCAAAAAGCCCAACTGGCAACCCACCGCATTGTGTAAAACAGAGGCCATTTTGAAACAGTACACACATACATTTATTATGGCATTACACATAAACAACAGCAAAATCATGCTAAACACTTTGAATAACATACTTTTAAGCTCTGATAAAAAATAAATAAATTTTGCATTTGTAACAAATATGTAAATCATATATTTTTCGACATATTTTTAAAAACAAAACATCCTGACATCTGCGTGTGAGTGGAGCCCCCTAGTGTTCGGCCACAGTATGAGCGTTTTGGGTGTGCGCCTGTCGCCTCGCCAACTTGGGTGGGAGCGATAAACAGGAAACGGAGGCGTGGAAGGGACAAACTACACAAACTTGAACCCAAACACAAACACAACACTCGTCTTTTACTTTATTGTGCGGAGCTGGGAGATAATCAGCTAGTTTCACTCGGAATGAAAGTCAAGCCCAAATAAGCAACTTCACGTTCAAAAACAAGCCCAAAACAATGCAGCTCGCGACTCACTAGATTTGCAGGCGACTTTAGAAAAAAACAAGCCCAAAGCTGCTTATAATGAGAGGACTTGGCAACACTGCTCCTGAAGAGCCTCTGACAGAGCCCTGCCTTCTCTCCTGACAGTGAAGTCCTGACCAATGAGAAAGAACCTTCAAACATGTAGAACCTTCAAACATGTTTCTGCCTGGAGACAAAATTTTAAAAGAATCTGATTGGAGAACTGGATTTTCATGAATTAAAAAGAAAAATTCTTGTTCAGCGGCAAAGTACTTAACAGAAAATAAGATAAATTGAGAGGAATGAAAAAAACTACATTGAAAATATATATTTTATATAAGAAATATGAAATCTAATTTTTAAATGTAATTTTTAGTATGTGCTGGATTCTTCGGCCTTCTCTGAAGGTGTTGAAGGCCTTGATGGTTCCCTACTGTATACTACTGCCCACTCCTCCAGTCAATAATTTTTTGTATCTTACCCCATTTGTTTTTTACTTTAACTTTAACCACTTTTCTTTTTGCTGCTGCTGAAAAACATACCCGTAGCAAGATGCTGCCACCACCATGCTTCACAGTGGTGATGGTATTATCAGCACGATGACAGGTGGTCAGCTTGAATCACATGTGGCGTTATATATTGACTGTTTCTTCCACGTGTTTAGGGAATCTCCAAAATGTCTTCTGGCAAATACTACAAGCAAAATTCATTTAAATTTCACGTTGCAAAGCAACAGAAGCGAGAGAATCATGACTTTTGGAGCTCACTATCCAGGCGACACTGCATAGTAACTTTCTGGGAGTTACTGGTGTGCAACATACTAAATTAAATACAAGTGTCCCAAAAATGCAACATTTCACAAGGAGTTAAACAACAGGTACAAGATAAACACAAAGTTTCAAACAAATAACAACAAAAATAACTTAAGGAAACACAGAAGAGAACCAGACAGGGCATGGAAGCACAATGCTGGACTGCAGGTGAGGTGAAAACCTAGAGACTAAATGGACCAGGACTGACCAGAAGATCAGAGACAGGTGGGTGAGTAGGAACAGAGAACAGGTGAGGAAAGGAGTGGCAGGACAGAGGAGCAGAAGGAAAAGTACTGGGAAAAACAAACTGGTGGAACAGGGAACCACACAGGAACAGAAACAAACACAAAGATAAAAGCTAAATAAATAAGCACAGACGTCTACCAAAAATTAACCAAAGTCACAGCTCCTGACATGAACACGCCTAAAAACCAAACCGAACACGTCTACAGTGCTCTGATGTCTCTGCAGATCTTTCTTGATCTTTACTTCTTTCTGCTTTTTTTTCTCATGTTTCTCCTCCTGTGTGTTCGTCGCGATGCTTTTAGACGCCGGTCGTTAATTTGCAGAGCCGAGAGTCTTATTCACCGACGCAGAGTGACCGGCAGGGCGCACAGGTAAATGTGTGGGGCTTTTCACAGCAGTTTGGTAAAAAATAAAAAAAATAAACACGTCTGGTTAAACCTATACATCCAGTGTGCTTATCTTGATGATCGCTGCATGAGTTACAGTTATTCTTATAAGAAAAAAGGCCAGATTAGCATTGTTTCCATTGTGCAGGGGAAGTTGTTTGTTGCTCAAATGGTGGGATCATGGCCCGGTTTTTATTTAGGTCAATTATAAAAATACTGACTCTTTGCCAGTAATGTCCCTGACTTACATCACTTCACAGGAACTGTCCTTGTTTTACCTGTACATGTTTATGGCTTGTAAACTGAAGGCCTCTGTCTTCAGGTTTCTGAGTCACTCTGGGAGCTCCAGCAGCAAACAAAGACTGCCACCTCAGACTGTGCGCAGGTACGAGCAGCTCCACACGAATCACCACGACCCAGTCCTGCAGCTCAAAACCTCACCTCCATCGTTTAGCAACTGGAAAGACAATTTGGTTCTCACACCCAAATATCAACTGTCTGAGGACTGAATGTCCACAGAGATCTGTTTAATGTATTTTTATTTAATTAATTTAATTTATAGACATCGAGATTTGACTGTTTGCTTAGCCCACTTGACTTTATCCTCCAAAAATGATGTTTACAGCTGTTTTTTAGCTGTCTGAACAGATCCAAATTTATCCCTAAGACATTAAACACCTACTGTAGCTTTTTTTTTAAATTTAGCCACAAAGGACATTAAAAGTTTGTCTTTGTTTAGCCATTTGGGTCTGTACCTAGTTGGACATAGCCCAGATTTAGCCCAAATGGACCTGTTGTAGGTCAGACTTTGTTGAGGCCACTTGACAGTTAAACTTTACCCCTAATAGATGTGAAGAGCTTGGCTTTTTAAATTTTTTTCTTCTTTAAATGGTTCACATTTAGCCCACAAAGGACAATTTATATTAAGCTGTTTGTCCTGATTGTTGAGGCCTCCAACTTTTGTTTTTATCGGGCCCCTACGTTGGAGAAAGAAAACTGCCAAACCAAAAAGTAACAACGTGTCAAATATTCAAGTCTATTATGTGAATTAAAGTCTTTCAGTTCTAACCCCATTAAGTGGAATAGTCATTTTAAGGCAGAGGTTTGTCAGTCTGGCAAATAAAAAAAGATAAATAAAAAGTTATTTTGTCTTGTTAAAAACACTTCCTGTACTATATTTTCTTAAAATATCGTCTTTTGAAAATAAACTTGTTTAAAAAGAAAAACAAACACATTATGAGGGTTTTAAAATAATGTAGGGCCTTTTCTGAAGCTAAAAGTCATTTAACCATAAATAACTGCATACTTAGTAATAATACAGGCAAAATAGTCAAATAAAATAAACAGAATCAATGTAAAAAACAAATTGTTTGACATTTATGCCCATTAAAAGCGTTACATTTAACACATTACAGTTATGTCACGGTGTGGTTCCATAAACCAGCTTAGCACATACAATTCACTAAAACTTTATTTTGTTATAATTCTGTGTAATACTGAAATATGCAGATGTTTGTGACTAAATAAAATCTTGAAACTGACACTTTAAAAAGAACATTATGTGTTTTGCAAAAAAATGAAGATAAAAGTTAAATAGAGAAATACATTTGTTATAATCTTGGACAAACAAATAGCATTTTTTTAGTTTTTATATTGTTTATATCTGAGAACTGAAGAGCAGAAACACCCAGACTAACAGGCTGTGCTCTCCCGTGGCACCCAAACACACACAAGCACAACACCTATCCAGCAGCAACATGAAACGAAACAAGCATCGAGATGTGGAAGAGAACCCACCTCAGCTGGGTTGACTTGGAGCTGGCCCCTGTGGCATGGACCCAGGCCCCACCAGGGGGGACCATACCCCACAGTTTGATAATTACTGCTGTAGTACTGCTTAACAAAAGCTGTAACATTTTGAATTTCCACTAGAAAAATTAAATTTCCTGCGAAAATGCAGTGTGAATGCTTATTGCTGAAGAACTTGCTGAAAAACAGCTGAAATTAGCTAAAAACATGCCAAAATTTTGCTGAAATGGAAGAACAAGCCTCAGTAGAAGGAAGCAGAAAGAAACACATATTTGCTGAATTTGGTTTAAATGAGAGCAGCACAGTGGTGCAACTGGTAGAGCTGCTGCCTCTCAGCGAAAAGGTTGCCGGTTCAAATCCCGGTCCGGGGGCCTTCCTGGGTGGAGTTTGCATGTTCTCTCCATGCATGCGTGGGTTTTCTCCGGGTACTCCGGTTTCCTCCCACAGACCAAAAACATGCATGTTAGGCTGATTGGTAACTCTAAATTGTCCCTAGGTGTGAGTGAGAGAGTGAATGGTTGTTTGTCTCGTTTGTCTCTATGTGTCCCTGTGATGGACTGGAGACCTGTCCAGGTTGTACCCCGCCCCTCGCACAGTGATTGCTGGACATGGGCACCAGTGACCCCCGTGACTCAAAAGTGGAAGAAGCGGGTAAAAGATAATGGATGGATGGTTTAAATGAGCAGAAATGAGCACAAAAATTACTTAATTAGCTAAAAAAAAGGTCAAAATTTGCAAGAAATATAGCTGAAAAGTAGCTAAAACAGCAGAATGAAGCTTACATTACCAGAAGGAAGTGGAGAAAGTGCAATTGTGACCAATTAGTCTGAACGAAGCAGAAATGAGCACAACAAAATAAAATAAAAGATTATCTGGAAAAAGCAGAAATTTGAAAAAAGAAAAAAAAAACAGCTGAATAGTAACTAAAAAGGCAGAAAGTTGCTTAAATTACCAAAAAGGAAGTGGAGAGAGCACAATTGTGCCCAATTAGGCGGAAAGAAGCAGAAATGAGCACAAAAAGTGGAAGATATCTGAAAAAAGCATTTATTAAAATAAACAGCTGGATAGTAGCTAGAACAGCACAAAGAAGCTTAAATTACCAGAAGGAATTGGAGAAAGCACAATTGTACCCAGTTAGGCTGAAAGAAGCAGAAATAAGCACAAAAAGTGGAAATTATCTGGAAAAAAAAGCAGAAATTTGCAAAAAAAATTAATAATAAAGGAATTAAAAAGGAAAGCAGCAGTTTCTTAACTTTTGAGGCTAAACTGGTCTGTTAAACTTGCTTGTTACTGCTGGAAGGGCAAAAAACTAGGATTGTGGTTTTATTCATTTTTGAAGTCATGATCAGACTGACCACAGGTCAGTTTTGTGTCTTGTGCTGCTTCAGACTCTAAGACAAGACAAGAATACACCCAATTTTATAAACCTTGTGTATTTGCTGATTCTCATGTTGACTGGCTTTAAATCAAATCTTTGGATGTTATGTGTCTTTATTTTAGTGCTTCTCTGGATGAGGGAAGTAGCGGAGCGTCAGTGCTGAGTGGGCAGGTATGGTTTCCTTTACATCCAAACGTATACTGTTTTTAAAGTGTCAAATTACCGTGTATGTCTTAAAGTAGTGACTCGCTGAGCTGCGACTGTTGGCAACTGGTTGAAGAGCAGAGAGTCTCCAGAATGTCATGCAACATGCGAGGCTTTGGTCTCGGAGGTTCCCGTCTTAGTTGAATTTTCAACATCTGAAAATCTTGTATAAGACGTTTTCTCTCAAAATGGTCACAAAGTTGTCATCTTGAAGCCAACTTGAACTCTTCTTGACTTCGATGTAAGCATCCCTGACCTGCCTCAAGAAAGCAAGAGCTGTACTTTGACTCCTACTCTCCTAAGATATAAAACATGTCCACCTCTTCCAGCTCTTCTGGAAGGAATCCAAGGTGTTTCCAGACCAGCTGAGAGACAGTCTCTGTAGCGTCTTCCCCAAGGTCTCCTCTCAGTTGGACATGCCCGGAGCCCCTCCCTAGGGAGGGGTCCATGTGTCACCCTTACCATATGCTTGAACCACCTCACCTGGCTCCTCTGGAGGTGGAGGGACAGTGGTTCTACTCCAACTCTCTTGGATAAACAGAACTTCTCTCCCTATCTCTAAGGGAGAGTCCAGCTACCCTACAGAGAAAACACATTTCAGTCATATGAATCCAAAATCTCGTTCTTTTGGTCACTACCCAGAGTTCGTGGCCGTAGGTGAAGGTAGGAACGTAAACTGACTGCAGCTCAGCTCCCTCTTTACCAAAACAGACCGGCAGAGTCCGCAATACTGTGGAAGTTGCACCAGTCCATCTGTCGATCTCCAGCTCACTCCCAACCTGGAGAGAGCAATCCATCCATTTCCGACAGAGGACCATGACCTCAGCCTTGGCGGTGCTGATCCTCATATCAGCTGCTTCACACTTGGCTGCGAACCGCTCCAATGAGAGCTGGATTTAAAAAGTTACACAAGCAATTCTAATCATGAACAAGGGGGAGGCTGCCAAAGAAGTAAGAATGTTGTGAGCAATGAAATATTGTGCATGGTCTAAAATACAGCTTTGCAAGCCGTGAATACAAAAAAAAAAAGCTTGATTAAAAAAAATGAGCTACTCAAAACATGTATGTACAGCTTTCTGGACGCAAAACCTCAAAAATTTAGTGTTTTAGTAATTTTGAAACTGTGCCAAAAATTGACTGATTTTCTCACATCAACTCTCCAGTGAGTCTCCAACAGTCACAGCCCAGTCCGACAATCTTCAGTCTCCTTTTTTCCTAATGAAAGCCGAGTGTTGATTGTTGTGTTAACTTTGTGTTTTGCAGCCTTCTTCCTCCTGCTCCTTTGATGGAAGCTTGAAGACCGAACAGTCAGACTCAGAGCCAAAGTGGCCCGAAGTACCGCCGGTCCTGAATCAGAACGAAGACCGCAGGCGGACCAAGTACCTGAGAAAAGACTATCTAAAAGTACGTTTGTATGCATAATCCTATGCACCCATGCACTTATCACCCCTAACGATGCCAAGCTGCACATTATGGTTTGGCTTTTCCAGGAGTACTTGAGTTGAACTCCTTTTATCGTCTCGTTTCTGGTTTCACTGGTGTCTTTTCAGCAGAAGGGTCTCGGGTTGTTATGATCCACAGAGTTGTTGTTGTTCCTGTTTGAGTGGATACAGTATCATGACTGGTGACAGACAATATGTGCTTTTGTAATCTGAGTAAACATCGTTGTCCTTGAGGCATAGGGGGAGGAAAAGATTGTGGCAACAATTATTTGTTCATCAGCAGAATGCAAAATTATTATATAATAATCAAATAAATTAAATTCAGTTCAGTTTATTTATGTAGCACCAAGTCACAAGAGAAGTCATCTCAAGGCACTGAAGAGAAACATTCATATATAAAAATAATAATTTAACGTTATTTATCTGAGGAGCAGACTGCTTTGAATTTAACTCAGTCACAGAGCCCTCATCTTGAGCAAGCATGAAGGTGACAGTGGGAAGGAAAAACTCCCTCATGAGGAAGAAACCTTTAGCAGAACTAGGCTCAGGACAAGCGTCCATCTGCTTCGACCTGCTGGGTTTGAGAGGAACAGATACACAATGGCAGGTCAAGAATCACATGTTAAGATAGAAATAATATCAAATAAAGACTATTCAATTTTAACAATTAATTTAAGGAAATTAGGTAAACTTGTCCTCCAGTAGTCTAAGCTTAAGACAGCATGACAAGCTAACCCTAACTATAGGATTTATCGAAAGGAAAGTCTTAAAACTGGACAATGTGTCAGACTCACAGACAGAAACTGGAAGTTGGTTCCACAAGAGAGGAGCCTGATAACTGAAAGATCTTCCTCACATTCTGCTTTTGGAACCTCTAGGAACCACAAGTAAACCTGCAGTCTGAGAGCGAAGTGCTCTGTTAGGAAAATATGGAACAATAACATCTGTAATATAAGATGGAGCTAGGTTGTTGAGAGCTTTGTAGGTTAGAAGTAAGATTTTGAATTCAATTCTGGATTTGACAGGGAGCCAGTGGAGAGAAGCTAAAACTGGAGAGATATGAGCTCTCCCACTAACTCCAGTTAAGACTCTGGCAGCAGCATTTTGGATCAACTGAAGACGTTTTAAAGAAGTTTTTGGACACCCAGATAATAAACCATTACAATAGTCCAGTCTAGACGTGACAAATGCATGAACCAGTTTTTCTGCATCAGTTTTAGATCAGATGTTTCTAATTTTAGCGATATTACGCTAAAAAAATAATAAAGTTAGTTACAAATAAAGTTGGACCAAAGTCAAACACCTGTCCAAGCTGAGACAATTACACAATTAGCTTCCAAGCATCGTAAAGTTGTGCTCGTCTTTTCTTCTTGCAGTACAAATGTCAGAGCGCTCGTAAGAGCTCCAGCAGCAACGACGACTCTGAGGTAAGTTTGACACACTCGTGCACCATCACGTCTTTTTGCAGTATTTCTATATTTTAAGAGTAAAAGCTGTTTTGGTCCTCAGGCAAGTCTGCGCTTTGCTGATTTCAGCACCACGTTGACAGTGTTCGGACTGAAGCCAAGATCAGGTAATTAACTTTTTTTTCCCACAGCCCTTTAGGTTTCAGGTGTATGAATGTCTCTCAACAGGGTTGTAATGTTTATTTATCAAGTCATGTGGAAAAAAGCCTATTATGGCCATGCATGCATGCATACTTTTGCAGATTATATTTTTCTGAAAAGGGCTTCAGAAATATGTTTGTAAGAAAAAAATCCCCCTTGTCATGCACTCACGTGTCCTTTAAAAGTAACTAGTGTATTCAAATCAGTGCAAGTCCAGGCCCATGTGAGCTTCAATTGCACCTTAAGCCAATTCTTTTCTTTCTTTCTTTCTTTTGAGCCTTTCTCTGGAAGTGGAGAATGATTTTCTTTGGAACTGTTTCTGCACAGCTTTGTTTGGTCATGTATTATTTTTATCCTCGGTTTACACATAACTTTTTGCTTTGGTGCGATAGGAAATGAGAAATGTTCTACTTATTTGTGATTTGTACCGCCCTAGAAAAAATTCCACTACTGCTTCAGGACGAAAGCTTCAGATTCAGTATGGGAAGGAAAAAGTTTATGCATCGTCATGTTTAGGAGGTAGGCAACTTTAAAAGTAGAACAAGAAGGCAACACAAAAACCTTTTACCCAAAGCACAAAATACTGTATTTTCTTCCATACGCATCGCACCGCCATATAAGTCGCATCAGTCCATATTTGTCTAATAAAGTGGAAAAATCCACAAATATGTTGCTTCGCCGTATACATCGCATCTATTATGCATCACCACTGACAATCCGAAAATGTAGGCCGCACCGGTGTTGTGCCAAAAAACGATTGGCCACCAAATGGCGGCCGCAGGAGCGTGCACAGGAGGACTTTAACAAGAATTTAACAAGATTAACACTTAAAAACAATTATTTGTTTGCTCTAAATTATATTAAAGTGTGTATCAATCTAATGTTTGCTTAATAAATGTACTTTAATGGTCAAATCAGCTGTATTTAAAAAATAGTTCGCTGCCTTGCTCCATGAACGCGCAGAGGAAGAGAAAAAGGAGGAACGCGGCTCGGTTCTCCAAAAATTAACAAGAACTGCACCTAAACAATTATTTTTTTTCCTTGAAATTATAGCAAAGGTGTGTGTCAGTCTAACATTTGCTTAATAAATGTACTTTAATGGTCAAATCAGCTGCATTTCGCCGGGGCAGTGCAGCTGGATTGACGGTCGGTCCAAACAGCAAGCAGAACCAAGGTGGGGAGGCCATGGCAGGCCGATTGAGTCATTAATAGCTGGTGAAGATTCTCGTCATCCAGGACATGGTAAATTCAAAAAAGTTCAAGAAAAAACTATAAAGTATAGTATAATAAATAAAGTCCAGTTGTTTTTGTCTTGAACTTTTTTGAATTTGTCATTATAGGCACGTTTACCTATTACATGATACAACAGCATGCCATACATTATTACTACTCTGCTGCCATAAAGTGGCTGAAAGTGGTACTGCTCTATTTCTTTTTCAGTCAGAATGAATGAAAACGGTCATATCTCAGCCAAAAAATGGTTTATAAATATGGGAAAAAAATCCATAAATATGTCGCTTCAGCCTATAAGTTGCAGGACATGTAAATTATGCAAAAAAATGCAACTTATACAAAGAAAAATATGGTACCCACAAATCAGCCACATCAATAAACTGATGACATGAACGAATGTGACTGATATTAAAACATTTCATTGCCATAAAAACACCAACGTTCATGCTCATTATGAGCATGAACGTTGGTGTTTTGAACCACTTTGGCATGGTCTGACTTAGAGGAGTTGATGGGGGAGAGGGCGGGCCCCAGAGGGCATCTAATCACCAGCAAACTGATTGTTTCCACTCTGGGAGTGAGCTGTTTGTGGGATTCTGTTTGGTTTGGTGGGCTCCTCAGACTGAAGAAGTCCTTTGGATGAAGGACGAAACGTCTCAGCAACAAAAGAACCCATCCAGATGACCTGACTGAACATTGTTGGATTTCATCTCCATGTTTTACTGATAAACTGGAACTTCTAGCATTGATGTCTCTCATGTTCCTTTGGTACCATGTGTGGCAGGCCATTGTGACATATAATCAAACCTCACTGCTATCTTTAAATACTTGTTGTCCCTCCACTTCCAGTTATTCTTGTGACCATGATACCTCGAAAAACTTCCATTTTGATGTGTGGCTCCATATCTGTCCTAGACAAGCAAAAAAAAAAAAAAAAAACTCCTTCTGTTCCTTTCCACAGTGTAATTCCTACTCAACTTATATGTGGCATCAAAAACATTAAGGTTTACCTGCATTCCTTGTTCAGTTCCAGTCCAGAAAAACACTCATCTCAAAAACTACAAACATTCACTCTTCAAAATCCTTCATTGACAGGGGACCTCGGCGTACGGCTTGCTTCACTAATATTCATCCTAAGCACAACATGCTAACTTGTCAGATTTGAAATTAAAAGTATTTAATGTAACATACTTGTAAAAATTATATTTTAAGTCTCCACAAAAGAGAATGTGTTAGGAAAGAGTGATTTAAACTTTTCTAAAAGTCCGTGAAAAATGTGTTTGTTTATTGTAATGGCTGCATTGGAGATGTAAATACCCATAATTCATCTCTTTCTTGTCAAAACTAACATTTCAAATAGTCATAGGCCGTTTTTCCTTTTTCCATAATCAACATTTCAGATAAACAAGCAGTATGATGATGATCCCCATCGCGGAGTGATTTGATTAGTGAATGTTTGTAGTTTTGCAGATGAGTGTTTTTCTGGACTGAAATTGAACAGAGAATGAAGTAAAATGTTTATGGTTCAAAATATTCATGTGTGTAGGAGTTCCACTGTGGAGACGACCAGAGGGAGTTTTTATTTTATTCATTTATTTGCTTGTCTGAGTCAGAGCAGAGTGACAAATGGCTTCCAGTTCCAAATATCCACAAATACATTCAGAAAAACTGGAGTAAAAATATCTGTTCAGGCAGCTTCTACAGCTGATCATCAGCATCCTTAAAAATTCCTGTTTTATAATTGTCCTTTTTGAAAATGCATAAGAATCTGAGTTTCAATGAGTGTTTGCATCTTAGCATGAGTGCTCTAAACAGAGTAAATTAACGTATAATTCAATTCTGGAGGAAATATGTGTTTTTATTTAGCAATAAAGGATAAATTAAGTTTTTGTTCACAGAATAACTTTATTTTGGGGGGCTTTAATCTGAAAAGAATAAAGATAAGCAGACCCTGCTTCAGTGTCATTGTAGGGTTAGTTATGGTTTAAACCTAACAAACTCCCGTCCCGCTGAAATGAAGCAGACCTCACCTGCCCCGACATCAACCTGACTGTTTTTAACTGCTCTTTATTTGGTTTGTACGTTTCACTGTGTCTTATCTGGAACTCAAGACAGCACTCTATTTACCAATCCAGCCTTCAGCAAAGGAAACCGTCAGGACTTCAGCTCAACAGACCCCAGCTTCACCATGAGGAGGAAGATGGAGCACCTGCGGGAGGAACTGGAGCAGATCGGACTCCTACGGCAGGTCGGACACCTCACAGCTTGTTTACGTCTTGTTACTCTTCATGACTCACACTTAGAGCAAGGCCTGCCAAACGCTGGTCGTGTTCCAGTGTTTACTCCTTCGAGTAACGTAGTGAACTCTAAATGTCGAGTGTTTTCTCTCTGAGTGTTCCCACTAAAACGTACGAAACAGTCTGGACATGTCTCCTTTTGCTCGGCCTATCTTGTGCAACACACGGAAACAAGCTGATGTTTGTCTTACTGACCATTTAAATTTATTTCTACTTTGATGTTATCTGTCTTCTCCAGAAAATCAGTTTTAAGCCATGGGAACAGCATGACTGTGTGGTTTTTGACGAGAGGCTTTTTCAAACTGTGGCAGATCTTGAAACTGAAAACCAGCCTAGTCGAGATTTGGAATTCCCCCAAAAGCTTTTGAGATTATCTTCAAACTTGCAGAAATATATAATCTATAATCGAATAAAAAGAGAATAAAATGAAATTGTGGCCCTTCAAAGATAATGCAAACCTGATTTCTCAACCTGATCGTCCCTAAGGGGGAGTTAATATAAATATGTACACAGTAATGAGAAAACACATGTTTGAGACTTTCTAAGAATTAAGACAGAGAAAGTAAATGATGTAATATGAGTTTTAGTAAACTCTTGACCCCTGAAATGTGACACAGTTGTCTCAATGTGTTGAGCAGATTACAGTTAAAGTAGTTACAATTAAGGGTTAGAACTGATATTTATCAGAAATCAGTCAAAACGCGCTTTATGCTTTAACATGGTAAACGTCTGATTCTTATATAAGCTGATTTTATATCCAAAAATCTAACTTTAACCTACCAGGAGCAGTTTGGTTCAAAATGTTAGCCTAAAAACATAAAATCCACAGTTTTAATAGAATTCAACAGCAACAAACTCTATGGGCCTTCAACGCCTTCACAGAAGGCCTAAACATTCAGCACATATGAAATGTCACATTTAAAATTTGAATTAAAATTTTTATTTAATATAAAACAATCAGTGTAATTTTTCTTATTTTCTGCTAATTTTAGTTTATGTTTTTACTAATTTGCAGTTTAGCAAGATTGTTTTAAATTTGTGAAAATGCAGTTATCCAATCAGATTGTTTTAAATGTTTGTCTCCAGGTAGAGACAGAAGGAGTTCTCCGTGATTAGAACTTCACTGTCCGGAGAGAAGGCTGAGCTCTATGGGCAGAAACTTGAGCCACCAGAGTTCAGTCGGAGGCTCTGCAGGACGAGTTTGTTTAATAACTGACTGGAAGATTAACCAATCACAGTGCCAGTGCAGAGGGGGTGGAGCCAAAACTAGGGCTTGAATAGACTAGTCAACGAGTCGATTCTAGGACATCTCGCAAGTTTTTTAATTTCACATCGACTAGTTGCAGTCGGCGATTGTGTCACGTGATCCGCCATCCGCCCGTGGTGGATTCCTCCACCGCCTGCCCTGCTGTTTTTAGTTTTATTTTATTGAATCCACTAAATAAAAATAAGAAAACAGGGGTGGCGCACCACTGCACACCACCTCCAGTGGTGGAATCCACCACTGCACACCACCACCAGTGTGCACCACGCACCACCAACGGTGGAGAATGCACCACCGCTGCAGTAGTTTATTTTATTTAGTGGATTAAATAAAATAAAACAAATTTTTGGAGCTTAACAATCGTTTTGGTTTTCCTGGGACTTATTTGAAGTATGATAAATGGTAGGAGGATAAATACACGCTCCCGATGTTTTGTTGTTCTTTTTTTATTTTTTTGTAAATAATAAATGACTTTTTTTTGTGAATAGTGTCTTGAGTTCCTATGACGTCACACCGACTAGTCGGCGTCGACTTTTATCATGTTGAAGTCGACTTTAAAAAATATGTAGTCGTTCAGTCCCTAGCCAAAACACAGGACACTGAGCCTTCAGGATTCCCCTCTAGACCATATTTTGACCGTGTGAAGATTTGTGACGCATTCATTTGCAACCTCAACTTGTAATTTAAACAAATGTAGTTACTCTAAAAGATGAGGGTAAATACCAAATTTAGATTTACACATAATTTAACAAAAACAGTACGTTATCTGGGTTATTGTTAAATTTCAGTGTGAGTTATTGCAATTACATGTTGTACTTGAACGCAAGAGATTGTGAACCGCAGGGACTTCTGGGTAATCTTGGGACTGATATAGGTGGACTTTTTCATATTTCCCTTATTTAGTTTTTTTTCTGTTTAGTGTTGGGTTGGTGTTTATGTTCAGATTGTTCTTAGTGACTGTTTAAAAATGACACGGTAAGTCAAATGTTGTACCTGATGGATGAAAAAGAGGAAAGGCACTTCCTGTCAGTGGCGTTCTAAATGCAAAACTGATGAAAAAGTGATGAAATCGCACTCTGGGTCTGTGTCTTTGACGTTAGTATTTTATTAGAATTTTACAATATTACATTATAATTGAAGGCCTAGCTGTAATAGTCATGGTTTGGCACTAGAATTTAATAAACTATAAAACTAAAAGAGAAATTTCCTAAACTGTTTGTTTTGAATAATATTTACAATTTCAGCACCTTTTAGTGTGACATTAAAAATAAAAAGAGGTTAAAGATGTGAATAAATTCTGAGATTAATTGCAAGACTTTTAAAAATCCAGGCAGAGCTGTTTTGAGGGAAGTGTAGAAACGTGGTTACAGTTCTGACACACAATGGTGAGTCATCATGAAGTTTTATGCTTTCCAGTGTTATGGACTTTAACGCACAAATCTTCCAAATGTAAAAAGTATAAAAGAAACTAGAAAATTGGGGGGGGGGGGGTATATGTACCCCAAAATTCTTAAGCATATCACTCACTGGTTCCTCATAAAATCATTGCAAGCAATGACAGCATCTCTGAGTTTATTGAAATACAAACAAGAATGTGTTCGCTGTGATATCCTGCATGAGCCAAGAATGCATTACGTGCCATATTTTCAGCTTCTTTGCACGTTTCTGATAATAGATCAGGCCATCAGATAAGAAAACAATGTTTCAAACAAACACCATTTGATACCGTAGGTAGCCTTTGACGGTGTGTCCACCCATGCCTACAGGAACAAACATGTTGAATCGTTGGACTGATGGGGATCATTCAAATGTGTAATCTGCCACAATAAATTATAACTGTGGTTTGCCTCACTGCTGTTTACAAGTTGTGTTAAATCTCCCACAGCTGGAGAGCTCTTCTGATCAAGTAGTTTCTGGAAAGTGTGTCTTTTTTTATGAGCTCAAACATGCGGGGTGAGTCATTTGACAACACAGTGTTTTGTTGAAAAAATATGGACTCTGGCATTCAAACAGGTACTTGGGTGTTTATCACCTAAATGTAGCCAACGGCCCCTCCAACCAGAACATTTCCTAATATAATAATGAATCATCATGCATCAGCTGTAGTTGTGGAGTTCCTCAGGGTTCAGTGGTTGGACCAATGTCTTTACTTTTTATATCTTTCCATTAGGTAAAGTTAAAAGGCACCATTAGGAATATTTGTATTTCATCACTGTTGATAGTTAGATTTATCCAGGAAACTTGACACATCCAATCAGTTACTTAGATTACAAGCTTGTCTTGGAGACATAAATACCTGGGTGACTCTTCATTTTTTGCTTTTAAATTCAGACAAAACAGAGGTTGTGGTTTTGGCATCTCAGCATCTTAGGAACAATCTTTGCAGTCTTTCACTTCCTTTGTCCGCACATCCATTTATCCATCCATTCACCCGCCCGCCCGTCCTCTTGTTCTGGAGTCAGGTCTCGGGGACAGCAGCTTGAGTAGGGAGGCCCAGACATCTCTTTCCACAGCCACCTCTTCCAGCTTTTTTGGGATGATTCCAAGGTGTTCCCTGGCCAGCTGAGAGACATGGTCTCTCTACCATGTTTTGGGTCTTCCCCAGGGCCTATTCCCAGTCGGACATACCCGGAGCACCTCCCTAGGAAGGTGTCATGGGGCATTCTTACCTGATGGTTGAACCGCCTCAACTAGCTCTTCTCGATGTGGAGGAGCAGCATCTTTACTTTAAATATGTCTATGTTTTTTAAAATGTCAAACTCCTGCATCTGTTTTAAGGTAGTGACTCGCTGAGCTGCGACTGTTGATGAGCATTCATCAGAGAGTCTCCAGATTATCTCACAACATGTGAGGCTTTAGTCTCACAGGCTCATAGTCTTGTTAGTTGAATTTTGAACATCTTAAAGTCTTTTTCAAGCTGTTTTCTCTAAAAAATAGTCACATAGTTGTTGCCCATCTTGAACTCTTCTTGACTTTGTTGCAAGTGTTTCTGATCCCTCTGGAGAGAGCTTTCTTAAGATAGAAAACATGTCTAGGTCCATCTCTTCCAGCTCTTCTGGGAAGAATCCAAGATGTTCCCAGGCCAGCCAAAAGATGTAGTCTGTCCAGCATGTACTGGGTCTTCCCTAGGGTCTCCTCCCTGTTGGACATGCCCAGAGCCCCTTTCTAGGGAGGCATTTATGCATACCAATTTGTAAACGGTCCATCTTGTCTTGCCACTTATTGTTGATTTTGTCTCTCTGTTCTTGGAGCTGAGCCATTTTCTCTCTGATCTTTGAATCAAAGAACATTTTGAAAGGAGAGAACTGAAACGTAAAGTACAGTAGACACCAGGGTTCATCCTAACTAGATGCCTGAACCACCTCAACTGGCTCCTCTGGATATGGAGGAACAATGACTGTACTCCTAGTCTCTCCTGTATAACTGAACTTATCACCCTATATCTAATGAAGAGTCCAGTTACCCTACAGAGGAAACTCATTTTGACCGCCCATATCCACAATCTTGTTCTTTCGTTCACTGCCCAGAGTTCATGACCATAGATGAGGGTAGGTCTAGGACTGACTATTAAACAAAGATCTTCTCTTTGCATCTCAGCTCCCTCTTCACCACAACGAACCGCCCCAGAGTCTGCAATACTGCTGAAGCTGTACCAATCCATCTGTCCATCTCTCTTTCCCTCACCCGTGAACAAAATCTGAGATACTTGAACCCCTCCTCTTGAGGCAGAGCTTCACCCCCACCCTTTTCCCAAACATGACCTCAAGTTTCTGGTCTCCAAAATCTTTAAATACCACTCCGATGAAACCTCCCAGTATTATTATATTGTCATATTGTTGTGGCAAATCAGTGTAGAGTGTGTTGTAGTTATTATTAGCATCTTGTAAATATGTATAAATTAAAATAAAAATCCCTGTGTGCAGAACATCGAGTCCAGACTGAAGGTGTTGCTTCCAGATGATGTTGGAGCTGCTCTGATGGATGGAGTCGTTCTCTGCCATTTAGCCAATCACATATCCCCCCGCTCTGTAGCCAGCATTCATGTCCCATCACCTGCAGTGGTAAGTAACCTGAACAGTCCAATAGGTCTGATATTTTTAGATTACAGATGTCACAATGTTTCAAAAGAGATAATTTAATCCCAATACAGTAAATAAACTTTGACCTAGAGGCATCTTCATCTGATTTTAGATAAACTGAGGTCCAGGTGAAGGCATTTTTCATTGATTGCTGCAGTAACACTCCGTGTTAATGCTGTTTGCAAGTATTTTTAAACAGAAAACAAGAGGTACGATGAAGTCCCCCATTGCTTAGGTATTTAGTGAATGTTTGTAGTTTTCAAGATGAGTGTTTTAACATGAAATGCAGGTCAGCCCTAATGTTTTTGGTGCAAGATATTCAAGTGGGTAGGTGTTACACTGTGCAAAAGAACAGAGGTGAGGGTTTTTTGTTGGCTTTTCCAAAGCAACCCAGAGTGACAGATGCTGGCATGTGGAGGGAGCAATTTTATCCGCCACCACCAGGTGCAATGGAGGAACCAGAGGGTGGCCAAGGTTATTCTTCAACCACCCCAATCATTTGAGGGAGCTTTAACTTTAAGCAATATGAAAACTAGAAAGCATAGTTTCCCAAAAGATAGAAGGACTGGTTTACATACTGTACAGTATATATATGGTGGCCATCTTGGATTTTAACATAGTAACCCAAGTTTTGATAGTGACCTTTATTATGCATAGATGCAGCCGCACATCAAAATGGAAGTTGGCCTGTTTACAACATTCATAGATGGACGAACCGAGTGTATTTCCAATTTCCCTCTTTACTCTGCGACTGGGGTTGATTAGAGCAGTTTTGATGCTGTGTAATACAAGTATTTCTCCACAATTATTAACTGAGGTGTCAACCGAGATGCACTGGTTAAAAAAAATGCTTACGGTCCTTGATCTGCAAGTCTGTGCTGTATAAAATGCAAATATTGGATCAAGACAAATACTTAATCTTCCAAGTGGGGACAAAAATATCCTTGATCGGGACATCTCTACTTTTCACACTTCTACACAGGTGTAATTGTTTGCATCTAATCCTGAAATAACGTTTATTTTATTTTATTTTTTTAATCATTTATTTGCTAAACTAACATGATGCTGTTGTGTTTTTCAGCCAAAGCTGAGCATGGCAAAGTGCCGCAGGAATGTTGAGAACTTCCTGGATGCTTGTAAGAAGCTTGGCGTTCCACAGGTAATCTTTTATAACTTTAAGTTTGAAATGGTTTTTTTTTACTGCTGAGGACATTGTTTCTTTTTGATGTTTAAGATTTATGGTCTTCAAATATATTTAATAACTGACTACCAAGGATAAATTATGAACATAGCAGCTGCAAGCTCTGTCATGCACTCGCTGCTCCAGTTTGACTCTCTCCTGTATCTAAACAACTACCTGATAATGGAAACAAAAGAATAACATTTGAGATAAATCAGTCTAACGATTAGGTATTTTAAAAGTGAATACAGGTAGGAAGACTGATGAACCTCGTCTCTCTGTTGACTCAGGACAAACTCTGTCTGCCCCACCACATCCTGGAGGAGCGTGGCCTGGTGACGGTCGGCGTGACGGTCCAGGCTCTGCTGGACCTGCCTGCGTCCAGGTCTGCGCACCCATTGTCCATTTGATGGGAGCGGAGACGATACAGGTGTCCTTCAGTCTTACAGCTCATCTCTGTTCCACAATCTGAACCTTTCTGTCAGGGACTAGAGACCCCCCCTCCTACTTCTTTTCCTCCTCTTCCTCGGGGCAAGGCCCAAATGGCTCGTTGCTTCTGTCTGACTGAAACAGGAGATGTGAAGATGAGGAGCCTCCCTTCATGACGTCAGGCCGAAGCAAATTACCATCCACATTTTTACTCATGTTGTGTACCTCGTTACCGGGGACTGCTCCACCCCACCTGTTTGTGTTTGACTCCTGAGTCGAACAGTTAATGTGACAAACATGAAGGCGAATTTATAAAAAGACTTATGCATCTATTACCCTTCCAGCTGCAACTAACAACTCTAAGTGACCGCACGTTCACGGTGTTCCACGTAACGGAGTTAACAGAGACAGAACTCACTTTTTCACTCAGGCCACCTTGCAGCGAAGTCGTTCATAAGGAGCGTTGATTTAATTTTTTTTTTTTCAGGGGAAGAAGAAGAAGCTAGGCCTTGAGTTTTGTGCAGGTGGGTTTTCAGAACCTTTAAACCTCTGTGCTGAAGGTCTTTCCCTCACAACCCTTTTGCACGTACCAGGGGAAGTGACATCAGACCACTGTGATAACACATTATGATGTATGCCAAAAGCATGACGGGAGTTTTTTTGTAGCTTTTTTTTTTTAAACGAACGTAGAAGTTTCTATTTTATTTGATAAGTTTACAAGTGTCATGGTTTTCTCCTTATTCTTGCCAGTTCTCACTTGCCATGCTGTGAAGATCACAGCACAAACAAAGCAGTTAGATTTATTTCAATATATCTTCAGTTGAAATGTGATAATTGTATGGACTTTTGAGAGGAGGTGATTAGAAAATGTGTATTTGACTCCCAACTCGGTGATGATTTTTTCAAGATCCCCCCCCAGCTCTTCAAGGCTTTCCATAGTTTATTACTTTTAGTGACACAAACTTATTTACTTGTTTTATTTATGCAACCCGGCGGACTTCTCCTGCTGAAGCTGTCGACCTGTTAAAGCTGCTGGACGGCAGCTTGAGGAACATTTTGCAAGCCAACAAAACACAGGAGAACAATCTTCCAAAATAAGAGCACGTGCAAACCCTGCAAATAAATAAAATCAACCTGGATAGACACGGTGGCATTCCATTAACGGCACCCAGTACGGCAGGAATTTCTTTTTCTATCATGTCGGATGGAGAGATACGTGAGTATGAGTCTCACAGTCTTGTAGCAACAAGCAGATCACAGCTGTGTGAGTCTTTTTAAGAAGACAGTTTTACCTCAGGCAGAGCTGATACAACTCCAATTATGAAACTAAAAATGGGGTTCTACAACATAACAGCAGTAATTAGAGTAAAATGTAAATAAACTCTGGGATATTTGTTCAAAAAGCAGTCAGCTATGCAGCAGTCAATCCTGAGGTAATGCTTTCTTGTCCAAATATTTGTTTTATGGATACTCTCAGTATCTGCTCGTAGGCATACGCATACAGCAGCTCCTTTCTCTTTTTCTTGCCACTTTATGTCGCAGACCGATGCTACAATTGATTAAATTATCACTTTCGTTATGACACTCTTGACAAAACAGATTTTTTCTTATTTATTTTAAAGAAAGCATGAAAAGATTACATCCACACATAAGTATTCAGATCTTTTTATGACTTGAAGTGTGTCTGGAAGCAGTCAGAATCTTGAGCCTGCACCCGGGTTTGGGGATTTTCTGACATAATTTTGCAAAGCCTCTTTGGCTTTGCTCTATAGGATCAGAACCATTGGTGATCAGTCATCTTCAGGTCTCTGTAGAGATCTCTGGAGAGGTTCAAGTCGGGGTCTGGACCCCTCTTTACAGAACTGTCTTTAATCCACCCATGTGTTCATCTTCACTGCGTGCTTTGGCTCACCGGCATGTTGGAAGGTCGACCTTTGGTTCAGTCTGAAGTTCTGAGCTCTGTCAGTCCCTGTTGATTAACTTCTACAGCATGATGCTGCCACCACCTTGCTTCACTGTGGGGCAGGTGATGAGCAGTGCCTGCTTTCCTTCAGACAAACAAAATGAACATGGATTCTTGTTCACCTGTCACTGAGGCTTGCCTCCCTCAGTCGTGGTGGTCGGGCAGCTGGTCCCAGAGTTCTGGCTGTAACTGTATAAAACCTAGGGTGGCACGGAGGTGCAGTTGGTAAAGTTGTTGCCTCACAGTAACAAGGTCACCAGATCAAATCTCGGCTTGGAGCCATTCTGGGTGGAGTTTGGATGTTCTCTTCATGCATGCGTGGGTTTTCTCCGGGTACTCCGGTTTCCTCCCACAGACCAAAAACATGCATGTTATCAGAATCAGAATAAGCTTTACTATCATTGTACCAAGATACAGTGAGATTATATTCGTACAGTCATCTGAAAGATGGGCGGAGTGCACGTTGCTGCTGCTACAGGAGCGTGGCCTCTTATCCTTTATCAGAATACTTTTTAGATATAAAAAGGGAAAAGGCCATGAGGATGGATAGTGGTATTACAAAACATATCTCTTCACATCTTATCCTATCAGGATATGATTTAAGACATCAAAAAAACTGCCAGCAAGCACATTTATAGACCCATTACATATGCATTTGATGGCAAGATGATTTTTTTCCCATGAAGCATTTCCAGATAGGCCATAGTCCTGATAAGATGTTGGTCAGCCAGCAGTTCTGTTAAGCCTGCACTGAAGTTCCCGGAGGGGTGGGGTTGGGGGGCTTGTGATAAATTAAGCTTTTCCTTAGTTTAAGTATGTCCCAGGATAAATTTGATAGTTGGCCTGCTTTTGAGGCCAAATGGGGGAGTCAGATTCAGATAAGCCACAATTGTTGATTTCTTCAGGCAGCCTGTATTTTTCTTGTCAGCCTTAAGTCCTGCTGGTACTTTTGATCAAAAATTACCAGATTTGTGGGCATGCCACTGGTCCTGAGTCCTATGAGCCTCCTTCAAGGTCGTCTCCAACTTGCTGGTGAGTCCTAGAAGCTGCAGGTGGCCTGCGATTCTCACAAATCACTTCCATCTTATGGCTTAACTCGTAAATCAGCTGATTTTGAGTACTCGTAGCATGAACCAAACCTTCAAGGCAGGCAGCCTGACGAGGGCCAAATTACCTGCAGCCGTCTTCTTTGTATGTTATAAACCAGGAACCAGCCAATTCCAAAAAGCAGGAAACCTGTTATCATAAATCCAATTATATATATGTCTTTGGCATCCTCCTGAGAAAAAACGGAAAGACACATCAGCTCCCACATTCATGACGTATCCTGCAGTGTGAGTCTCAGCGGGACATGAGGGCTCTCCGGGACCCTGTCGCGTTGTTGAAAAGATTTTGTCGATTGCGTGGAAAGTTCAGCTGACCAGATCCATATTAGTATTTTTCGTTTGGAAAATGTGTAACCGGAGCTCCAAGACACAGACCGAGAGCAAGAAAGCAGATGGAAGAGGAGAACAGGGGAGGAAGAGGAAATGTGTCTGCCTTGTGCGAGAGTGAGTGCAGCAACAAAAAAAAAAGTTATGCTGATTGGTAACTAAATCGTCTCTAGGTGTAAGTGAGACAGTGAATGTTTGTCATATTTGGCTCTCATTTGTCCCGCCCCTCACACAGTGATAGCTGGACATGGGCATCAGTGGTCCTCGCAACCCGGATACGAAGAAGCGGGTAAGGATAATGGATGGATGGTAAACTCTAGTGCTGAGTGTAGATTGTTAAAAATGTTTTAATCATGTAGCATCAGGCTGCAACATGAAACTGGATAAAGTGAAGGGGGTCTGATTTCTTTCTGTATATTACAGAAGTGGATCTGTTCAGATTAGCAGTGGGTGTTTCGTGACAGATCTTACTGCAGCAACATGCCGACGTGGCTTCCCTGATGCAACCTCCAGCTGCTCGGGCCTTTCATGTTCAAACACCAAGAAGACAATGTCCTGAGAGCTGACTTTAATGTCTGGGGAAGACGTAGCAAATCATTCAGCGCAAACGCTTGTCGAGGTTTAGTTTCGCTGCTTGGAACACTCATTTCGGAATCTTGTAACAATTTAACAAACATATAAGGCAGACAAATGGATCCCTGAAAACAGGAAATGCCGTGCCTTAAACGAGGGGTTTCTTTGTGGGTTTTTTATATGTGCTGAAATATATATATATTTTTTTACATTTCTTGTTATTTTTCCCTCCCTTTTATAGTTTGAGTTGCTTGTCCATGTTTTGTTTTATTATAGTTTTTTTATTTTATTTTTATTTTATCCATGGGTTATGCTGGTTAAATGCAGCGATAAACAACTTTGGGGAGAGTCCCATAATGCCTGATGGGTGTGTGATACCTGATGATGCCATGGACTTGGTCTAGTATTTATGTTTTTTTACACGTCTTTTTTTTTCTGCCTACGGTTTGTCTCATCACGCCAAACCTTGTTTTTTTTTTTCCTTCTCCACCTCATTTCAGTGCCAGTTGGACGTCATCCACTCATGAAACATCTTCTTCCTCTAAACGACGTTTATTTATGTTCCAAAAGAAAACCACCACAAAGGTTCCGGTTAACACAACGCATCCAGTTGACGAGATCTCGAGTATTAAATGTGCACGCTGCAGACATCTAGTTGTTCTTTGATGCAGAAGATTCGTAAGAATTTCACTGAAGTTTGTAGCTCATCAGATGTTTCCTGATCCGTTCTTTGACTGTGCGTTCCCTCGAGCTTGACTCGTTTGCTGCAATCACGATCCTCGATGCAACGTTTTAATCGAACCAGCAGCTTTTTAAGCAATTTATAGAAAATGCGCTTATACAGATCAGTTGCTAAACGTTAAGGGTAATATCCCCACGGCGATCTGGTGGTGAATATTTAAGAATACATACCTGCCAGCATTTGCTGTTGGCAATGAGGGACACCTATACTGTACGTATTCACAAGTGTCACTGATTTGGAGCAGTCGTGGGGCGGTCCAAGGGCATGCCC